TGTGTCTGTAGCATGTATACATGTAGAGAGAGCGCCTATTGAAACAGTCCGCGCAGAAACGTATTGAAATACGGAACGGACCACATACTTGAGGAAAGGCTGCTTTAGTCTGTGGCAAGTCTTGTCAAGCGTCACATCACAAGTCAGATCATACAGTGGCGTAGCCACGGAGGGGGGGGGGCTGGGGCACGTCCCCCACACAGAGTCCAGGTGCCCCCCCCACTGAAAAAAAACCGGATGAATAGATATTGAACAAAGCGAACAAAAGCTTGTCCCCCAAAAGCCACACCACTGAAAGCTGGTGCCCCCGAATAATATGCTGGTACCACCTTTGCCCCCCCCCACTAGTAAACTCCTAGCTACGCCACTGAGATCATAAGCATTGTATATTAACATGAGGTAATGAGAAAGGTATATGCCCTTGCCACCTCAGTTCACTTGAATAGCTTACGATGTACGATTGACTTGACTTTGATGATTTGCAGGTCACAGTTGTGGCTCATCCAGTGGGGAGGGGATTCAAAGCGCCACCAATTTAGAGACAGTACGGTCACCTTTCTGTGGGAAGTGTTTAGGATTAGGATGAAAAAGAGAATGGGCGGTGGTAATTGGAAAAATATACTCCCTCCCCGGCGCAAGGCCTTGATACGCCACTGGACTCGATCACAATTTGATGTCAGCTGACCTAACTCTGAATAGGCCTACGTTTAAGAAATGACATGCGCTTGGTCCATACGGCATAGCTCGTCCTCAGTCGTGGATTCAAATCGTGATTCGTTAAGGCCTTTTGCCTGGAAGGTTTGATATTGATAGGACAAAATTATGAAAATCTATTACATTGCAAATTATATTAAACTCTAAGCATTGCATATTCAAAGCTACCGGGGGCCTATTTGAATGTCTGAGACCCCCCCCCAAAAAAATCCCCAGTTTTTGTCAGCGTGCGCGTCGCTGTAGACCTGCGCGTTGGCAAAATAAAAAAGTAGGCCTAATTTGGTATAAAACGATGTCCAAAAGCTGTCAAATTTGCTTAATCAATTGGATCCTGCTACTGCGTAATTTTAACATATTTTTGGTGGGGTAAGGTTGAGTAATATGTAAAGTAAAGGAGTCCCTTTCGTTCCCCATACATTTAGTCGGACTTTTTTTTCCGATAACATGATTTCTGTATTGTATATTTACATCTGGGAACAAGACAAACGACGTGGTCTTATGTCCTGCGTACATGTACAAGCTGAAAATGCTTTTAAAGAGTAAAACGTTCGGGGCCCAGTCTATTTAGTGTTGGTCGCGGCTGGCGTTTAGTGCGCATGTAGTCGCGATGGACATCGCGCGTTATACGTACATCATTTCCAGAAAAAAAAGCCTCGTCGCCACTTTCAGAGCCAACTCCTGACCAGAAACCGGAGACTTGGGGGGGGGGGCTAATGCCATTTTAAGGAAGGTCAAATTTTATTTGAAGTCGTAGAAATTACTTGGGTTTTGTGCAGACACGAGACATTAGTCCCGAAGCCTTTGTCCACCTTTTTACCGCTGAGAAATGTTGAGTTCCCAGAAGATTATACCCAGCAAGAAATGAGACCGAGGGGTACCCCCCCAACATGTCCAATCCCTATACACATTCCAGACTATTGTTACTTAACACATTCCCCCAAGACGTCTGAAAGGAATTCCCCAGATTCCTGCGAGACAATGACCAACACAAAGCAGGGGGGATTCTCTCCGTCTCATACCTTGCTGCATATGTAGAAGATGGAGGTTCTGAGTTGTCATGGAGAAGGTGAAGGCAGATGTATTCACAGTGCAGAGGTTAGTGATCTTGGAAACATGTGTTGCAAGGACTTCTCAAAGGGGACCGAAGGTGAAACCACATTCACGCCCTTTGCAAAAAGCAGGCTTTTTCAGCTGCATTGAAATATAGTGCTGAGTTCTGTTCATCACCAATGTAACGAGTCTCTTACGCGTCGTCACGTTTCACTTCGTCTTCATGGTTTCCATTTGTCGCGTTAAAAGTCTGTAGCACTTTTTGTTCGTGTATAAATAATTGCTTATTATGGAGAAAAGAGACGTACTGGTGTTAAAGAGAAAGGACGAAAAAGTGGAGATCCTTTGGGGAATTTACACCTTTTGAGTCGTTCCTCCGACTTAAACTCTGCTATTGTCCTGTACAAGAGAAGAAGAGTTTTTTTCTTAATGCTTGGAGTCATTAGACGAATTCGATCCACTCAGTGTTGGCTAGCTTTGTACATCTGCATGTACACAAAAGCTTCATTCCCAGATTTCCTGGCCGCAAGACGTTCATTGAGCAACTCTTCGGCTAGGTGAACAGGAATTTTTTTTGGTTTCACATGCACGATGTATGCATATCAAGACACAGGCAGAGACAGAAAGCACCAACAGTGGATCGTAGGGTGCACTGTTTTTATTACCTCCGAATGGTCCCACGGATTTATACTGCGAAAGAAGTTCTTATACGGACACCACTCGACACCCTGTGCGCAAAACCTGAGACTCGTCTGAAACTTGTGTTTCTTATGTAAACGACTTGGTTTCTTCCCTCCTGAATTGAACGTTTCTGGACATGTTTTTGCTTGCTGATGGCCAATAGGTCACTGTGGGAAATAATTACTCGTGTCCGTGTTAGGAACTCGTCCTTTATAGAGTGTCTATATAGGTTGGCTGCGGAAATATGCCAGATTCAAGATACCAAACGCTACCGATTTGACTGTCCTACATCAAGCAAGTTTGCTAAGTGGGAACCACAGCAGATGAATGCCACATTTACAACCTTGGACTTACACGCTCACTCATCGAAATCCTTCAGTCACCGTAGGAGATGTATTTCGCGTG